GTAGGTTGGAGGCCATCGCTAGTAGGTTGGAGACCATCGCTCGTAGGTTGGAGGCCATCGCTCGTAGGTTGGAGGCAATCGCTAGTAGGTTGGAGTTCATCTTGAGCTCAGCACACCGAATACCAACTTGTCTGAGTTCAAGCTCAATCTGCGCTGAAAGTCCTCTGCAAGGTCCAACATATGCAGTTGGGTCTTTGAGTGTTCTGCACAGCCAACTTGGTCTCTACTACAAGCGTTTCAAGCAAGTTCTCTACCATGATATACATGTCAAAAGTTGTTGCTGTATGGAACTGCGACAAAATCAATGTTTAATCTCAGCCAGGCCGTGGTGTCTTTGGTCGAACGGGATCATGTCACTCCCTCCAAACCCTGGTGAACGTTCTAAACGCTAGTTGAAAGGATCATGTCGCTCCCGATGGCAATGTTGTTAAAGATGCTTGCACAAGTGAACGCAGCCAAAAACAAATTAAGAAGGATACAGGATAAGAAAAAATGAGGTCGCAAGAAAGAAAAGAGAAGGGCCGAAAAAGTAAAAAGGTTGAGGAAAAACGATGAAAAGACCTAAAAAGAAAAAGGATAAAATGTCTGAAGACTAAAAAAGAAAATCCTGAAAGAAAAGAGAAAGTGTTACAAAAGAATTGGAAGGTGCAAAGAAAAGGACAGCAAGGTTGAAAGGATAATGGACGAAGGGTCTCAGGAAGGTCTAAAGCAATCAAGGTCTAAAGAAACAAAGGTCTGAAGAAACGAAGGCAAAGAAAGTCTACGGACAAAAGAATAAACATCTAAAGAAAGATACAAGAAAGGGCTAAAGGCAAAGGAAAGAAAGAAGAAGTCTCAGGGAGAAAGCAGCGAGGTCTAAAGAAGCAAGAAGAACTCAAGACAAACAATGCAGAAGCAAAGAATTAAAAGTGAACGAAAGCAGCAATACAATAGCTACTAGTAACAAGTGCATCGCTACTAGTACCAAGAAGCTACTACTGGCTACTAGTAGCGATGCCCTTGCTACTAGTAGCAGATGTGAAAGAAGGCTCAGCTTTCTAGATTGGAGCGGTTCATGATCTTTGTCATTTCCGAGACCATATCTGACGCCCTCCTCCGATGCACGAGTGAAGGTGTCCACACCTTAAGTCACAAAAAGCATAAGTGTCCTTTTGCGCAGTAAGCAGGAGGCCATCGTATTCAGTAGCAAAGAACGCATTCTTTGTTCGTAGCACAGGCAAAGGTGTCTCTGATCCAGCTAGGGAGAGCGTAGTGTTCTCTCACTTAACTACCTGGTTACTACGAATGCTTTTTCAATGTGTTTGGAAACGCCAGAAAAAGAACAAATAAAGAAATGAAGAAAAAGAAAAGACAGACAGGTCTAAAGGTCCCAAGAAAAGAAAAACACAAAACGTGTATCCTCTTCTAGTAGTAACAAGAAGCTACTAGTAACAAGTGCATCGCTTCTAGTAACAAGTGCCTTACTAGTAGTAACAATGTTCGCTACTAGTAGCTTCCTTTCCTCTTTTCCTCTTCACAGCAGAAACGAACAGCACAGCGCACTCGCACGAGTGCTCGGCCGTGTGAGGCGATGAGCTCCATCAACTGTGCAGCATCCACCAAGACACCCTCGAGAGGGCCCTCGGAGAAAATGGAAAAACTGACGGCGAAAAGCGTTCGTTTTAACCTTACCTGCAACTGGATGCACAAAAACATCAAGCGAAATGAAACGAATCAATACAAGTGCCGCCACAGTATTGGGCATTTGGCTTGGAATAAACAGGATCAACTGATTGTATGAACCCAAAACTCAAATCCTGATGTCCCAAAGGGAAAGCTGGAAGAAACACTTCATGTAGAATCATGCTGCTTTCCACCTGAGGCAGCTCGAGCAAGCATGTGCCAAGCACCAGGGCTGCAAGGCCTCGTACCTGAAATGAAAGCAAAAGCATCCAACCTAGTAGCGATGGCCTCCACCCTAATAGCGATGAGCCAAACATGTTTCAAAGTTGAGCTGTTTTCCCTACTCAAATTCCATGCAAGTTTCGCAACAAGTTTCACAAGACCACCAAATTGTGCTTGCGGCGCATGAGCTGTTGCTTGAAGTTCCCTTTGTATCTCCAGCAATGCTAAAAGTTCAGGTAGCTGAGCAGGTGAGCAAGAAACTACCTATCACACAAGCAAGACAAGTTCGGTCCATTTCCAGCGGGTCTGAATTTAGTGCTTTCTGATGTGCTTTCTGAAAACAAGTGTAAAAGAGCAACTCAAGGCGTCAAAGCACCAAACCGCGTGAGTTGGAAGAATCCGAATCAATCTGAAAATGTTGAGGGCAATCAATCCGAATCAAATGAAGCTTTGATGAAGCTTTGAGTTATACACATGGGAGGTGCACATGGATGGGTGCATATGGAAGCATTTCCCGGACAGGTCGAACTGCGGTGCAGGGGTTGCGGCGGTTTATTAAAAATGCATCAGGGGTGGGTCAGATTGTCACATGTCCACAGAAAAGTATGTATAGAAAAGTGGAGCTTTGTACAAACAGGTACAGACAAGTGGACTTCTTGTATAGAGAAGGTCGAGACAAGCGAAGAGTGCAGAAAAGTAGAAGTGTTCCTAGTAGCTTCTTGTTCCTGGTAGTACGGCCAGGAGCCCCTAGTAGCGTCCTTGCTCCTAGTAGCGATGCCAGGAGCCCCTAGTAGCTTTTTGAAGCGTCCAGGAAAAAAAAAAGCAAAGCCCATGAGGGCAGAGAATCCAGCAAAGTCAAAACAATATTCTAAGAAAAGTGCAGCAAGGTAGAGAGAGAGAGAGGGAGGCGAGAGAAGAAAAGAATCGATTTGCAGGGAAAGGGAAAGCACTACAGGAAAGTAGAGCCTCTCTGGCCACTAGTACAAAAGAAAGTACATAAAAAAGAATTGGAAAAGCGGTCTTTTAGGAAAAGTAAAGAAGAAACAGATTCTCACAGAAAAAGTACATGAGGACTTTGAAACGTAGGACATCAAATTTAGACAGTCCAGAAAATAGCAAATCCTAGACCAAAGAGAAGGTGCTGCAAATCACCACCACATAAGCACACAACCACACACCCACACACCATGTCACCACATGCTCTTTTGCTCTTCAGATAAAGACAACATCCCGACCTCACGATTCCACACTCCGGGATGGAGGCTATCACTCTTAGGATGGAGGCCATCACTACTAGGGTGGAGGCCATTGCTATTAGGTTTGTTGCTCTTAGGATTGAATCCTTTTCATTTTGGGAACTCATGGCCGCGGATGATCGAATCCACTTCTTCGCCACCAAGTGGGACGGCCTGTTTGTCCAAATAGCTTTAAACTTGTGCTTAGACAGTCCTCTGTTTGAAGGAACATCTTTGAACAGCAAAGTGCGCCAAAAAGAATCTACAAACCAAATCATTAAGGCTCGGGCGTATTTGAGTTTAGTAGCTTACCCTTGCCGCACGGCCTAGCCTCCCCTCCCCGTTTTTTCAAATGTGCCTGTTTAATGTAAAAAAAAGGCAGATGGGGTCATCGGAAGTATTTGCTTGTCGGCTTTTTGCAGCTGAAGCCTCAGGTCTTGGATGTCGAGGGAAATCCTTTCTCGTATAACACAGCTGCTGTTATGTGCTCACATGGCGCTGCTAGCTGCTAGCTATTAAGTTACTAGCTTAACAACTAGCTTAAGAAGCTACTCAGAGGCTACTCACTACTAGCTAGTAGCGTCTATGTGTGTGTGTCAACCCCTGTACCTAAGGGTTCCGATGCTTCCAAGCAGGGGGCTCACGGGTCTGTTCCTGGCGTGAGCCAAAAAAGCTCCAGGTTCAGACTAGGATATCGAAAGAGGACGCTCTTTCGACGTACCTGCGCTCAACTTTTGACCAAGCCGTTCCAATCTCCTTTGTTTGATTCCACGGTGGTTCATGCTACTTTCCACAAACCATGTCCCTCCGCCGCTTTCAGCTGCCGCGCGTTCGTGAACTGCAGACAAGTGAACAATTTGTTAAACATTTCAGTTGCGCTGACCTTTTCACCTTGCGTTTCCCTCACCTTCCTTCTCACCGTGGGAATTGAGTTAACAGCAAACCAATGTCAGAGTGTGTCGTCTGCTGTCTTTCGCAGTACAGCTTGTTCGAGAAAGTCTCGGCCAGGCATCGCTACCACCTTGGAGTTGAAGAATGCTTTGCTTCTTTTTGCTGGTATTTTGGGACAAGTATGCCGTGTCGAACCCTGGTGCTCGGCAGGTCACGGAGCTGGCACTACATCTCATAGCAGTGTGAAGAACGCACACCTCCTCCTGTTCCTTGTCTAACGGCGATGGGCTAATAGCCATGGCCTCCGACCTAGAAAGCACACCTCCTTCTGTTCATGTTCTCTTACACCAAGGCATAACCTGGGTGTAAAAAAAAACAAGCTTTTCAAGTGGGGGTCAAACAACACCTCTCTACAAGGTGGTGTAAACCGGCTGTTGTATTCAACAATATACTCCTCCCAATGTTTTTTGCTAAGAAACAGCCACACTACATCACAATTCAACACACGCTACATCACAACGCTATACTTGACCACACACACACAAAAGAAAAGATACACATCACCACATCCCAAATCTGTTGTGTTGGGAACACAACATGTCCTGTTGGAGCACAGCTAGGTGGTGTGCTAGAAAGATGCGTTTTGCTAAAATACTAAACACGGATCCGCCTCCCCTCTCTCTCTCACATCTATTCAAACGTGAGCTACTATGGCTTTTTCGTAGTTTTCTTGCCACTCGCCTGCGCTGCTTCAGGACAGCCTTCGCACGATTCAGCCAGAAGCTGCAGCATGGCACAAAGGCCCGCTGAACTCTCAGGATTTTTGTCTCCAAGGCCCTAAGGTCAGGAGGAAAATTCACAACGAAATCTAACTCTTTGAGCACTAAGTGATAAGCAGGTGATATAAGAATTCCCCCGTGCTTAGCGCTCCTCAGTATCAGCGCGCCATGCACGAGCAAGCGCTGCAGTGGGGCCCAGAAGTCCACCCAAAATGCCTTTCCTGGCAGAAACGTTTACTAGTAACAAGTGCCACGCTACTAGGAACAAGGACGCTACTAGGGGCTCCTGGCATCGCTAGTAGTAACAAGTGCCTTACTAGTAGTAACACGAAACTAGTAGTCCAATGAACCGCCAAGACCCTTGTTTTGTTGGACCGCTTCTACTTAATTAAGTAGGTGCCTACTTGATGGCGACTTGTTAGCTACTAGTACTAGCGACTTAAGCTACTAGACATGGACGCAGGATAGCTCACGCAATAATGATGTGGTTTCTGGATTTTGAGGGAAACTTACAGTAGCTAGCGTGTGGCTTGTCGGCAAGGGATAGTTCAGTTGACCCACAGCCTTTGGCAAGACCGGGCACTACGTGCAATTCTTACATGAGAAATAAGTGGCCTCCACCCTAATAGTCCAAAGGTATGCTTGACTTGGGTCTCGTTCCAACTAGCTGCCTGGTCAGTTGCTGCCGCAGCTCCACATCACTACGGATGCACTGGCCAAGCCTGAACTTCACTACTGACCAAAGAAACAAAAGCTAAAGCGCAGTTGGGTACTTGCGCCCACATGAGTCATGTGTGAAATCAACTCAACTGATCCATTGTTACTAGTAGCGATGCACTTGTTACTAGAAGCTACTAGTAGCGATGCACTGGTTACTACTAGCGATGCACTTGTTACTAGTATCTAGCTGTATTTATGTGTTTCCAAACAAAAATGCCTCTAATCCGTCTAGCATACTTCTAATCCATCTAATTGATGTAAGGGTGTTCGTCTTGGAAGTCGACCCGGAACTGTGCTTCCTACAACCTTGCCGCAAACCAGGTGTTCGCATCCAAAGATCCACATGCCTGAGATAGGGTGCAAAGTATGGCCCATTGACAGTGTTTTACAGAAAGGAAGGAAGGAAGTTCTGAAGGTCTCAAGAAGAAAAAAATGACACAAGACAAGTAAGTAAGTGTTTGTTGAGGTCATGTTTATCATGCTTCCAAACTCTGCAGGTTCAATGCGCAAAGGTACATTTTGCGTAGCTCCCTGAATCCTCTGATCAGCCATGCGGAAAGCCAGGAGAAACATGCCTCGGTGATTGCAGAGATGTTCATGGCGCTTTCTAGAAGCTTGTCGATTTAAAGCGGACTAGTTGGAGGCCATCGCTACTAGGTTGGAGGTAGTATCCTTTGTGATGTTCGGTAGTTTCGTTTTGCAGTTTCCTGTGCCTGCGCCAGATGCTCCAGGACTCTCCTCCTCACGAAGTGCAAATTTGCAGGGTGCATCAAATGAAACCTTTGATTCCTTGTGATCCCTTCAAACCTTTGAACCCTGAACGAAACAACAAAGGAAGAAAGACAGGAGGGAAGAAATGTCTTCAGGCCTTGACAAGAAACAAGAAAGAGGCAAAGAGGTGTCAAGCTTCTAACTCTAGCTACTAGTAGCATCCTTGTTCCTAGTAGTAGTGCCAGGAGCTACTACTAGTAGCTTCTTATTCCTACTAGCGATGCCCTTGTTACTAGTAGCTCTTATTGAGTTCATATGGTTCCTATTCCATAAGCCAGAATCCTGATACTGCCCCAACAAAACTTCGAGTCTCAATGCAGCCCAAAAGCGAGTTGTGCAGCCTCCAGTGCCGAGACCAAGGCCTGAAATAAGGAAGCATTCAGGATTCTACCTCAAGCAGTGCCGCACAATGCATATATTATGTTATGGCATGTCTCTGCCGCACATGTCACTTCTGAACATGTCGCTGCAACTACGTGCTTCCTCCTTCACATGTTACAACACGACACTGGCAAACAAGTCGGGCATTGCTTCGTTTATGTGCACCAACACAATGTGGAAGAACATCGTTCTGTACCTTGCGAACATCTGCGCTTCGTTCAAGGCCAGCAGCCAGCAAGACCTAGCATGAGCTGAATCATTGTACTGCTGTGCAACCATGCTTCTTGAAAGGGCTAAATTGCACTCAGGTGTCATTTGTTATGTACATCATAGAAGAGTTTATGAAGAAACTTCTGGCGTACAGAAACAAGAGTGGCAAAACAACTACGGTTGAAAAAAGGACTGTGTCGGGGCAAAGGGTAGTGGTGTTGGTCCGGATGATCACAGTGGCTGCATGAGGTAGAGATCTATTGGCTTCTTGTTCCTAGTAGCGATGCCAGGAGCACCCCTAGTAGTGTCCTTGCTCCTGTTGTTCGTTTTTCCTTGGACCTTCGAACCTTTTCTGTTTTCCGTTCTTTGTTTTGTTCTTCCAAGATTGTGTGTACTTTATGTTGGCGTGGTATGCAAACGAACTCAAGCCACTGAGCTGCATGAGGTAGAGATTGAAAGAAGTATGGAAAAGGAGCGGTTTCCGAAAGGCAACAAAAAGGATTTCTGCAGGTGTTGCAAAAAGAAGGAACAGTTGTGATTTCTTGGCAAAAGTCCAGAAAGGCAGAGGGTCCTCAAGAAGGAAAAGTAGAGATCTCTGAAGAAGTCGAGGCTTTTGGACAAAAGCTTGAGAAAGGTGGAGACTTCCAGAGACGAAGCGTCGAAAAGTTGAGATTTCTAGAGAAAAGTTGATGGTAGTAACAGGTGCATCGCTAGTAGTAACAAGTGCCTTACTAGTAGTAACAAGAAGCTATTAGCTTATTGCTTCTACTAGCTTCTTGTTACTACTAGTAAGGCACTTGTTACTACTAGCGATGCACTTGTTACTACTAGAAACAAGAAAACTTCACAATCTCACACATCACCATGCTACTATCAAGTTCACCATAGTAGATTGGAGGCCATCGCTCTTAGGTTGGAGGCCATTACTACTAGTAGCAAGAAGCTAGTAGTAACAGGTGCATCGCTTCTAGTAACAAGTGCCTTACTAGTAGAAACAAGAAGCTAAGAATTAGAATTCAAGCACTTTGACACTGTGAACTGTGGATGTGTCGATTCGCGCCTCAATGGCAGCTCGCACTTCCAAAGGTGTTGACATCTAGCCAAACAATCGAAAACATACCGAGAGCCATCGATTGCCAAAGCTTGAGTTTCAGAATTTAGGTTGGAGGCCGACGCTACTAGGTTCCTTTTGCTATCTGGTTGGAGACCATTGCTAGCATGTGCTTCCTATCCGAAGTGCCTTGCCCAGAACTGTTGCCACAAAGAAGTCCAGCATGGATCCGCCCTGTATGTTGGCCTGACACCAACAGCACGAAACATAGCTCAAATCCAACACGGAGCATTTCAACAACTCATTATCAGTGTATCATTCTGAGGCCAGTACATTGAAAAAGCCTAGTGATGGTTCTGGAGCAGCCCGCACAGCGCCAGTAAGAATCTTGCGCAATGCCACCAGTACAGCTTGCAACTGAGCTCTTTTTTGCAGTTGCTATCAGCGAAAGGGCATCGCTAGTAGGAGCAAGGACGCTAGTAGGGGCTCCTGGCCTTACTACTAGGAGCAAGGATGCTACTAGGAACAAGTGCATCGCTTCTAGTAACAAGTGCCTTACTAGTAGTAACAAGAAGCTACTAGGGGCTCCTGGCATCGCTACTAGTCGCATTCTTACTAGGAGCGATCGGACGCAGTGAAACATCGACTGCACCTGAACGGCTTGCAACCGCAAAGGATCAAAGTGATATTGTAACACCTCGCACGGTCCAACCCGAGTTAACCCGAGTCAACAGGTTCTCTTTCTTTGGCCCTCACTTAAAGAAATTAGATGCCTACTTCGTTAAGGGAGTAGGCTACTAGCTACTTAAGCTACTACATATGGACGCAGGATAGCTCGTGCAAAAACTTCGACGGCAAATGAGTCAACACATGTACTTTGATTTGACGCTTGTCGACTCATGTACACAAGAGATAGTCCACACAAGCCTCGCAAACCAACTCCACAAATCCAGTAGATTGGACCTGAAGATTCAAATCGCATGCAGTTGGTCTAAGGAGTCACCTTTTCAAGTTAGTAACAAGAGCACGCTACTAGTAACAAAGGGCATCGCTACAAGGAGCAAGGACGCTACTAGGGGCGCTTCTGGCCTTACTAGGAACAAGAAGCTACTAGTAGCAAGAAGCTACTTGCTGAATCTGGGAATCACACTAGGGCTTTGGAGTTCTGTTCTGCCTGAGCAATCACTCTTTCGCGGACGAGCCAAGAGGATGCAAAGAAGTTTTCCAAGCACGTTCAGCCTCAATCCCAGCAGTCGAAACGAAAGAGCCCACAGCCTCCTTGGGAATCGAAACACATCGAAATGCCGCTTTAAATTTCGGCAGCAAACGCCGTTCAACAAGCTAGTAGTAACAAGTGCATCGCTACTAGTAACAAGTGCCTTACTACTAGGAACAAGAAGCTACTAGGAACAAGAAGCAGCAGTCCAGCAACACAGTCGCCACATTTCGCACGCCCAAAGCCCAACTTGCACCGCCTGCCTGAACAGCTGACAAACAAACAGTTGGGATTTAATTCTAATCTATTTTAGTTATTCCTACTAGCTTCTTGTTACTACTAGTAAGGCACTTGTTACTAGTAGCGATGCACTTGTTCCTAGTAGCTGACAAACAAAGAGTTGCCGCATGTCTTCGTCCTTTCCTTCCTTTCCATTGTTTTTTTTCCGTTGGGTGTGAGACGGGTAGTAGCAAAGTAGCTGAGTTAGTCTACACTACATGCAAGGGTGGAGTACAACTCAGCTTCTTAGACTCTCCAGCCATCGCTAGTAGGGTGGAGGCCATCGCTAGTAGGATGGAGTACAGCTCAGCTTCTTAGACTCTTCAATGTTCGCACTGAAGCGAGCCTCTGTGAGGCCTGCCGCCATCACGACAGCGCGAAGACTGCGGATCAAGGCAAGCAAATGCCCTGCCTGCACATGTTAGATCTGGAGGCTGAAAAGGACTATGCCAGCATAGACGCTCCACATCAAAGTAATTGAAACATGTTCCAGCTGTGGACAAACTCATCAAACAATTGCCCCATATCAATCACCTACCTACTGTTGGTGCAAGAAATCCTGCATCACCTAGAACCCCAAAGGCACCTTAAGTTGTATCAAATTACCGCAAATGGTGCAGCATTTCTTCAGTAGATTATAGGTACCCACCAGGAGGCACTGGAGAAAAGGTAGACCTTACCAAAAGATAGAATGCTTCAACCTAATAGCAACGGCCTCCAATCTCCTACAACGATGCCTCCAACCCCTAGCAATGGCCTCCAAGCTTAATTTTTCCCTAAATGTCTAGGAACCAAATCATTAGTGCGAGCGCTTCTTCCAGGAAGCTTCTCCCGCCGCCTTTAGGGCGGCGGGGGGCACTTGCGTGAAGAAGCGCGAGCTATCCTGCGTCCTAAGTAGTAGCTACTTAAGCTACTAGCTACCTACCTCACCTGTAGCGGCCTACCCCCTCGGGGATTCGCTCGTGGGCAAGATGGTTGCGCGGGTGTCATGTGCGGCGATGGCAGGGTGGGCCAGCAGGCGAGTGCTGCATGAAGCACTGGTCGCGCCAGCAGCATTTTGGCAATGGGTTTCTCTGCGAGGTTGGCACTAGGTTCTTGTGGATTCACACTTCCATTGATAAAGGCATTTCCAGAGAATAAAAAATGAATGGATGTCCAGAGACAATAGTATAGAAAAGTAGTTACGGCCAAAGAATGAAGGGAATAGACAAGGTGTTCAGACAAAGTTGCCGAAGAGTACAGTACATGTTCTAGGCTTGAAATATCAAAGGCATTTCTGGAGGAATGCAAACAGCATCCATCAGGAATTTCATCAGCAACATCACGTCAAAAATTGAATTCACATCATCGCATTGTTCCTGACACTCCGTAAATCGCCTCAACTCACATCACCCCCCTAGAGGTGCTTTCTTTCTTTTTTGCCTCATGCGGGATCGACCTGTAGCAAACTGCGGGAATTTGATCAATAGGCATATTTTTGACGCTACTAACAAGAAGCTAGTAGTAACAAGTGCATCGCTACTAGTAACAAGTGCCTTACTAGTAGTAACAAGGACGCTAGTAGTAACATGCAATAGCCGAGAGGCGGTCATTTTTGTGATTGCCCTGAGATACAGCCAAGAAGAGACCGAGAAACGCTGATCAGAACTCGCGTTTTGGAGGAACCTCTGTAACCTTCGAGCTATTGGTGGAAGGCAGAATGAGATTCCCCTACAACCTTCCGTCTTCCACAAACAGTTTCACATAGTTTCACAAGGGGGCTCCTGGCCTTACTACTAGGAGCAAGGACGCTCTAGGGGCTCCTGGCATCGCTACTAGGAACAAGGACGCCACTGGGAGCAAAGGGCATTTCTACTAGGAACAAGAAGCTACTAGAGAGAAGGATGTCACATGTCACCTTAAGACAAGGAAATTGAAAGCTCTGCATCATGCTGAATCACCTTCACGTTGTTGAATACCCTCGAGCCCAGGATACCGCTGCTTTTCAACTAGATCACGCTTCACCAAGGAAATGCACCCTGCCCGTTTTTTCCTGTCCTTTTTGGATTCTGGTCTTTTCTTGTCTGTTCGTTTGTTTCTTTTTCCTTTAGCCCGTTCTTTCTTCCTGTCTTTCTGTTCTTTTCTGTCTTTCTTTAGGAATTTAGATCTTGTCTTTCTGTCGTTCTTTCATTATTTTTTCTTTCTGTGTTTTTCGATTGCTTCTTACAGTATTTGCATTGCACTATGTTCGCCAAATGCTATGCAAGAAGAAACCGTAGCTGGTGTCACATCTGGCCTCCCGCATGTACTTTTGTGCGACTGGGCCTTGTCCAACAAGCTGTAGAACACACACCTGCATGCATTGCATGGTGAGCAAACAATTCGTGTGTTTCCCCAACTGATCATGTTTCCTCAAGTGATTTCAGCCCCGTTCTGTATCGCTCCATGTCTTCTGCTTGAGCAAACACATCATGGTGCTTAGGTCGAGATTGTGAAGAGATCTTGTGTGTCCTACCATGATCCAACCACAATATTCTTCTGTACCTTGGGCTTCCTACCATGATCGACTTCTGATCTACTAACTACCTACCCCGTCTATATATCTGTTCATGGCCTAGCCCTCCGAAATGAAAGTTCATACACTCTTCTCACATCGTTTGACAAGATGTTGCTTCAGTTGTTCCCCATGTCTGTTTGCCATCTTGATACCTCTGGGGCGCGCGCACAAGCATCAGTAGCCAAGCTCAGAAAAGTGACCTTAGCGGACAAGCTGAGAAACGCTTGAGAAAAGCGGGAAGAGCAAAACAAAAAATGAAAAGCCAGAAGCATAGCGTTGGTTCGTGTTTGTTGTTTCTACTTCCGAGAGCCCAGCCGATGCCGGACCTTTGGATTCCCAAATCATTGGCAGCAACACCACACGAAACCAGTCCCACTTGTCTTGTTTTCTTGACTGCACAGGGGGTAGAGAGTACACAGGATCGGATAGTACCAGTAGCAGCTAATGTTGCTAAGATAAGTGAAAGCTTAGTACTTACGCATGGTCACAAAGAAAGCTCAGGAAAGCTTCTCGCACTGGGGGTGGCAGATTTACGTCTAGAAACTCGTTGTAAAAAAAGGCCAATGTTTGTTCGATGGGGTAGGAGCAAGAAGCTACTAGGGGCTCCTGGCCATACTACCAGTAACAAGAAGCTATTAGCTTATTGTTTCTACTAGCTAGTAGGGCACTTGTTACTACTAGCGATGCACTTGTTACTACTAGGGGCGGTTCTTGTCACTTTCAAGATGGACCGTCGGAGTCCCGAACCAGCCGAACTTCCAGCGCTGAGCGCATGAGCAGCGATCGCCAGCAACGCCTGAAGGGTATGCACAAAGCATTGATCGATAGAATCGATACATGGCTTTCTGCCAAAAAGCATTATGCACTCCACAAGGAAACAAGATGAAACAAACATTCTAGCATACTGCAAAGAGCACTGGACTCCACTACACCCTGTGTGTTGCCATGTGACTCCGACTCCACTACTACTTCCCCACCGGATACGAGCACTTTCAAGGACAGAGACTGTGTCGGTCGTGCAACTGCAATGGCATAAAGACGAATGGTGACCCGTGTCTGACTCTGAAAGTCTTGGCACAGACGTAATGAGTGCACCAAAATGAGTGTAATGAGTATGATTGTAATTCAATATAAGAAGGATTGAAGCTTCACTTACAGTACTGGCCAGACGCATCAGCAGGCAGAAGTGCAAGTAACATTGCCTCATTGACTAAACTGCGAAAGCCTAGGTTTCAACGTTCAAGGGCGGGTGATAAATCGCATCGCACCAACATGTGAAGAATGCAAGTGAGGACAGCAGGAAACATAAAGACAGCAATGGCCACGCTTAGCGGCTCAGCAAATGAACAAACAGAAAAGTCATGAAAAAGAAATGAAAAAGAAGCTACTAGGAGCAAAGAAGCTACTAGGAACAAGTGCATCGCTTCTAGTAACAAGTGCCTTACTAGTAGTAACAAGGACGCTAGTAGTAACAGCAAGACAGGCCCCCCAAGGCAAGCTGACAAAGGCGGCGCATTGAGTCAGGACAGGCTAAGGAGCCTGTAGTAGCTTCGTGTTACTCCTAGCGTCCTTGTTACTACTAGTAAGGCACTTGTTACTAGAAGCGATGCACTTGTTCCTAGTAGCTTCTTTGCTCCTACTAGTAATGCCACGAGCTACTAGTAGCGAACATTGCTCCTAGTAGCGATGCCCTTTGCTCCTAGAAGCAATGGCCTCCAACCTAGTGCTGAATTTGTTGATGAGATGCAAGTTGACTAGCACAACCAAGGATGGGCTGAAGAGGACGACTGACTGGACGGGTGAGTGGACAAACTATCGGACTGGATTAGAAGCTACTGTGAACACTGGCTGACTGAATGGTCTAAGCAAACTGTTTGGCAAGTACAAGTAGCAAGCTTAGAATAGTATCTTGAAGCTACTAGAAGCAAAACGAGAATCTGGCAAAAGAAAGAAAGGAAAGGTCTAGTGGATTAAAAAAATGAAAGAACATACTGAACAATAAAATATCTATATATATAATTCTCATAAAAATAAACGGAAAACAAGACTGTAAATGCATTGTTGTTTGGACGCAGAGAGGCTCTTGAGAGAAAAACATCTTGAAGGGTGGTTCTTTTCTTGGGCGGTTCTTGTTCGAAGCGGTCTGGATATGTGTCAAAAATAATAAAAGAGAATATATGTGTTTTACTCAAAAGAATCCGGTTCCTGTTCTTGTTCGAAACAGTCTGGATATGCTTCAAAAGAATGGGAGAATGTATGCTTTTTAATGAATGTGTCTTTTTACTAAACAATCAAAGTTATTCAGAACTTAGGGTTTCGACATGTTTTGACCTGAAAGAAGAAGGGTATGGGTTCTTGTATGTTCTTGTGGATAGGCTACCTGAAAGGATTCGTTGCATCAAACAGGATTGCAAAAGAAAATGGCACAGGGAAGAGATTGGGTCAGACCATGCAGTTTGTTTCATGTTGAGCATTGAAAGTTGCAGCCTTCCTACCAGCAGTTTACTGTGACACTGCTCCGTCTCTTCGTTCGTCGCACCTCAACACCATCTTGGAAAGTAACGATCATGCGCACGTCACTGTCCTTCGCTGTCACCAGACGCAGAAACTGTACCTGGGCACACAAGAACCGATTACCCAAAAAGACATAAAGGAAAATGGATTGTGTCTGTTCTTTTTTTAGTGCTAGGAACAAGAAGCTACTAGGGGCTCCTGGCCCTACTACTAGGAGCAAGGACGCTACTAGGGGCTCCTGGCATCGCTACTAGTAGCATTCTTACTACTAGTAACAAGAAGCTACTGTTCGGGGTAATCAGCCGAGCAAGACTTCCGAGCAGATCGGAGTAGGTCCCCGAGCAGATCGGAGCAAAATCCGGAGCAGAAAGCGATGGTTGGGTAAGGTCCCTCACATGGTTTCACCTCCCGTCTGAGGTAGGCACGCATTCAGCACACAACGCCACCTCTTCAACTTCGGTCGTATTGTTCTTGGCATCCTTGCAATCGCTTCTAGTTTGGAGGCCATCGCTATTAGGTTTGTTGCAAAATGATGGACGGATTGGCTGGCGAAGTGACCAAAGCTTCGACGGCCCAGGCCTGTAGAATCTGCATCAGCGCTGAAATTGATTCGGGGTCACTCAGCAAATGACGCCCCAGGACCTGCACGTGCAGACACTCAAAACAAGTGCATCGCTACTAGGAGCGATCAGACGCTACTAGGGGCTCCTGGCCTTACTACTAGGAGCAAGAAGCTACTAGTAACAAGGGCATCGCTACTAGTAACAAGTGCATCACTATTGGTAACTTCTTTTTTAGCCCGCTGCCCCCACGCAACAAGGTGAAGAAAGGGAGGTAAAAGGCCCCCTTAAATAAGGAGCGGTGAAAGGACCCCTTGTTGAAGGGGCATTAGCTTCCTTTGTTCATTCATCTCTTTGATTGTTTAAAACCTTTGGTTACAAATCATATTCAGTCTAAGTGCACCACCGAGCTGGTCTCAGGATACACGCGCCGCAACAAAGCTAAACCTTTCAGCTCTCCAAGAAAGTCGGAGTTCTTTGTTTGGTTTCAAACCCTTCCCGAACTCGCACATGCCCTGAGCGTCTGGCCTTGCGTTCTAGAGGCTACACCTTGCGCCTGTGGCATGAGTGGAAAACACAGAACTAGGAGCAAGAAGCTACTTGTCGCTCCTGGCATCGTCATTAGGAGCCGCTGTTAGGAGCAACTACTAGTAACAACAAGTTACTAGTAAGCAAATCGTTCAGCACAAGGCAGCCACTAAAGGAGGGGACCAAGTGCAACAAACAGTTCATCATCAGCAGCGGCACGGTTGAGCATGTCAAGAAACCTACCTACGGTAAAAGCAAAAAGGAAGAGCAAGATTCTAAAGCTCCCGAGAAAAGATAGAAATCCGCCCGCGCCAAAGGTGCTGATGGACGTTATTGTGCTGGGGCACGTTCACTCAGCTTCTATAGCTTTAGCTAGGGGGTGCCTTTTTCGTTTGGGAACGGAATTGAGGTGTGTCTGGAGGTGGTGGGAAAAAAACGTGCAAAAACTCAAGGAAAATGCCTTGCTCCTAGTAGTAAGAATGCTACTAGTAGCGATGCCAGGAGCCACTAATAGCGTCCTTGTTACTAGTAGCAGTGCCCTTGCTCCTAGTAGCTTCCTGTTCGTAGTAATAAGCCCATGAGCCACTGGCGTCCTTGCTCCTAGTAGCGATGCCCTTTGTTACTAGTGGAAGGTTTCGCAACTTTTGATTTGGAAGTGGTGTGCCATATGATCTGGGAGCGCAGTATAGAACATGAAGTCTTACGCTCTCAGTGAGAAATGACGCACAAATGTTGAAAGGAGTAGCTTGCTTGCCTTTCAGGGATGTAGTGATGCAAGCGATGGCATAGTGAGACATATACCAAGACATGGATGATACATACAAACTGCACAATAAGTATGACCGACGTAAGGCCTAAAGACGAACGGTACAAAGCACTGGATGGAAGGAAATAAGTATATAATAAATTACAACAAGATATAGCATTGTTGGATATAAGTTGGACCCGCTTAAAAATGTACGGTTTGAAGGGTGTCAAAAATCAGTCCGTTGAATCCAGTACGATACAGACACTAGTATATACCACAATGTGATGCAATGCATTGGATGAAAACAAATACATTGTTGAATATGAGTTGAACCCCCTTAAGCATGTACAATGTTTGTGAACTTGTATCATCGCATGAAAAAACACGTCTTTCGGCTCTTTCTATTCATGGGTCCCCGAATTCCACACAATTCTTCGAAAGTCCGAAACACTTCTACCGAACTAGGAACAATAAGCTACTAGGAACAAGTGCATCGCTTCTAGGAACAAGTGCCTTACTAGTAGTAACAAGGACGCTAGTAGTAACACTTCTACCGAAAGGAATGTCTCGGACCCAAAGGATTGATAGGCCATGCCCACGCTGTCTCAGACGGTGATCGTTGCGAAGCGACCTGAATTTAAACACGATTTTAATACCAATTGTTCAATAAACAATATGTGTTCTTCTTTTTGTTCTGCTTGTGTGTTCTTTCCGTTTCTGTGTTATCTACTTGCTCTTTCTTTGTTGCTCTTCTTCAAGACTGTCCAGTCCAGTCACTCACTCCCCCTGTCCAGACACACCAATGTCTTATTAGTGTCCCTCTAATAAAGGGGGTCAACTACCGCTAAAACCGCTCACCATCGCAACCAAAGAAAAGGTCGCTGTTGGGAGGGATCCATAGATGCACACTCTTGTGTTATACAGTGTTACTAGTAGCGAACATTGTTACTACTAGTAAGGCACTTGTTACTACTAGCGTGGCACTTGTTACTAGTAGCGATGCACTTGTTACTAGTAGCTTCTTCTTACTAGTAATAATGGCAGGAGCTACTAGTAGTGTCCTTGCTCCTAGTAGCGATGCCCTTCGTTCCTAGTAGCTTCTTGTTCCTAGTAGTCTTGCTTTCTCGAAGCGTTGCAAAAAGCTTCGACTTCTCTCCAAGATGATTTGGTGTCATTCAGAGCAAACATGAGAAATGCCTGCAGACGTGCTAAGACTTTGCAACAAAACTACATAACAACAACCTTGGAGAAACTTTTCCTGGTATCTGCTTGAAAGCACCTCCTTTCCCTATCTAAAGGCGACAAGCTTACCCTTTGTTCAATTATTCGTGAGTGAAAGCTTTGGGATTAATTCATTTTGTTAGTCCTGTTTTGAAGGGTAAGTGCCTGCTGAAAAGAAGCGAAAGGACAAGAATCACTTTCAAGGATATGAGAAGGAAACAAGTCGGGAAACGACAAGTAAGAAGCCAAATGTGATTCTCTTCTTTCTCCTCCCTTTAAGAAAAGGAAACTAAACGGGCAAACCAAAGCACTGAATGTGACAAGGGAAAGGAAGTCGAAAAGGACAAGAAGTCAAAGCGGATCACAAAGAAACGGCATGGCTTGGCTTGGTCACAAAGCACTTGAGGACAAATTGATGCTCGAAGAATCACAATAGCAAAACATTCAAACACGAAGCTGCATACGGTCATTAAAAGTAACAAAATAGGCACAAAAAGACCTTAGACACGTGCCTGCTGAGATGGTTTGTTGAGGTTCTGGCCTGCAGCAGCTTCATCATGGCCTTGCCATTCTCTGTGCGACGCACAATCTGCTCGTGAAAGGCACGCAACTCCTGAAGAGAAGAAGAGAATATCGTCCCTGCCCTCCCTGAGCACAAACACCTCCCTGAGCTCAAACAGAATCCGTGCTTCTTAAATAAGATGGGACTCTACGAGTTGAATGGTTCCTCCAAAAGAATGGACACTGGCCATTGATCGCTGTCTCAGCCTGAAATACTCCTTCCTACTGTTTGTCTTCTTCTCACTCTGTCGGAATTCACTCGTGGCTCATGGCACCTCTGGAGTTGTGCCTGTAGAATCTAAGGCTTGACCCATGCCATTCAAAGTCCTGACAAGGTCATTCCTTTGCTAGTAGGAACAAGTGCCACGCTAGTAGTAACAGGTGCCTTACTAGTAACAAGAAGCTACTAATTACAATTCTAATTAAATTCTTCTTGTTCCTACTAGTAAGGCACTTGTTTCTAGTAGCGTGGCACTTGTTACTAGAAGCTTTTAATTCTAAGAGGCGACTGTTCAACGACTTTCAGATCCAAGACTGAAAAAGGATGTAAACATAGTCCTTGCCAAGGGTCCCGCCGCAAGCTTTGCAGACCTCTGTCCACAATGTTACAGCTCGTTCCTTGTTCTGCTTGTCAATTTATCTGAGGCTGGAACTCAACTCGACAAAGGGCTGCACACACAACTGGCACCACCCTATCCTCCACAACCCATCCGTGGAGGATGGTCGCGGTCTGACTCTGAGCAAGTCCCTGACAGCATTGCACTCTGTGCGCATGCAAGGAGAGATGAGATGTTCATCCTTCCATTCTCAATATTGCAAGACTCTCTGGTTTCTTACCTCCCAATTGCACAATTGGCTCTTGACATTCAGACAAGACAGGGGAATGTTCTTTCTTTGTTTCTTCCTTCCTTTAGACCAACAGAGGGGAACCCATTGAGCTTCAGAATTTGAAGTCGCCGTTTTTACATTGAGTCCCTCACTTCCAGCCGCTTGCAGGCAGCCAAGAATGCAGTCTGGGAGCCACATGCAGGTTTGGCTTGTTTGAAATTAATCCTTGTTACTAGTAGCTTCTTGCTACTAGTAGCAATGACCTCCAACCTAATAGCGATGGCCTCCACCTAGTAGCTTCTAGCTACTAGTAGCTTTGATACTAATACGATTTGATTTTGGCCTCATCAGTGCCAGCCAACTCGATCTCCTTGCTCAGTCAGGGTGCGGGTTTAGAGTCAGTTTGTTGTGTGCACCAGACCAAAAAACGACACCAGTTATTTTTCGCGCATTTAGCCTTGAACCGTGCCAGAAATGATGTGAAGATATGCATCTTGGTTTATTCTTGCGAATTTGCTGTCCTCCAGGACATCATCCAGGTCCACTCCCGCATCAATCTGCTGCACGGCTGAATCCACCTTCATCAAGCACCGGACACAAACTATTGGAACATCCGGTGACATATCTGCCTTCCGACGACCCAGTTTGTACACTGGATTGTTTTGAAAAAACTGATTCCCCCAGGGCCCCTGACTCAATCCTCTGACAGAGAGTTTACACGATGTGTTTCCGCGTTCACACAGCAACTGTGGAGAGCCAAAGCAGTTTCATTGCGCAATGTAGATATGGTGCCAAGACGAATGGCTCGTGCCATTAATCAACCAACTAAGGAGTATTATAATATAGCGCTGTGGGTTTTAGGGTGGAGAGTTTGCACTGTTATTTGCATGTAATGTTTGAGAACGCAATCATTGTTGAACCAAATATATTTAGAGTGATAGTGTCCCTGATGCCAAAACCGATGCCAAAGCCTGAAACACCCGAAGTCCCTTTTTTTGGCTCGCTCCCCCCCGCCCTACCCAATTACATTAATTAAGTAAGTGTGAGGTAGCGAGTCGCTTAAGTAGCTATTAACTACTGGACGCAGGATAGCTCGCGCTCATGATTTGGTTTCTAGATTTTTAGGGAAATTTAACAATAGAACTGTTAGAACTTGTAATAGTAACAAGAAGCTACTAGGGGCTCCTGGCCTTACTACTAGGAGCAAGGACGCTACTAGGGGCTCCTGGCCATACTACTGGCTCAAAGCCCTTCAAGACTCTGTTCGATGTTGAGCACCCCCTGACAGCGCAAACCATGAGTCCTGGGCACAGATTTACAACAAATGGTTGGTCATCAACCCTTGCTTCTCATAGTTCCTGGATGTTGTGGCATTTCACTAGCAGAGTGAAGATCAACCCTGATTCAGTGGCTTGATTCGCTATGTTTTGTTCTTTTGTTCCATGTGCGAGGTGCGCTGAACGCGAAAACCCGAATCCTATCAAGCGTATTAAAGATACAGGGGCAGAATTATGGATCCTTAACACTGCCCTATGATAATTGGTTTCTTGCAGTCACCTGTTGATGTTCATTCAGATTGATACAAGGTGTTGAAGTAAGCTTTCAGAAGAGATCGAACCAAACAGCACAGCACGTAACATATTGACCGATGTTTGCAAGGTTTGAAAAAGATAGTCATCGGAAGCGGGGTATGCTGTTGAACAAAAATAACTGGAAATGACCAGAAATAGCCACTTGCATGCACCCGACACCAGCACGCTACAAAGCACTACCACTACAAATGCCGAGACGTTCAAACTAAGAATCAGATCACATCGAAACCACTAAGCAATCACTTGAGACAGCTGCAAAGGAGCACGGTGGATTACTCAACAAGCTTAAGGATCCTCCGCAGCTTAGACAAACCTACACATAGCGCTTCGGCTTCGGGCTTCCCCACATCACACTAGCTTGGCACGAGGAAGAAGCGAACATGTTGGTCAAAAGCTGAAACAAGCCTCCTTCTCAACGTTCCCGACAACGGTCTCCACCTTGGGCTAGCTGAAAGCAAGGCATTAGCTGTATACGCTTCATTCGTACACGCAGCTTGATTGCAATTAGATTCACACATTTTCGACGACTCCTTCGAAGGTCTCGCCAATGGAGTCGATGAATGAAAACAGCGCGGACGCCATGGGAATTGCCTATCCCCCAACCGAAGGTACAAGGTACAAAAGCGCACTTGATGGAAACCCAACTCAACATGGAACTCTCACTTTGACTCCTTTTATCTGAAGGAAGGCTTTGGCTCTTTGAGCGGCTCCTGTACTTGCAAGCTGGCTGAGACTTGCTGACTGGCCCACTTCACACGCAAAGAACCGGCCCGGCGCATTTGGCCTAGCCACCCTCTACATCGCCACAAACCATGCACATGGCTGACTTCAGATTCGCATTGTGTGATCTACATATCTAATCATATCTACAAGTGTTGCTGTTCCTTTACTTCTTTTCTCAATCTCTCGCTTTCCTTTGTATCCTCCCTGTCAAAGGATATGTGGGGGAGTCAAGCTAAAGCTGGCGGACGGACTTCTATGTTCAGTCGGGATTCAAAAAAGTCTGCCAAAGCACGGGAAACATAACGGGGTCCCCTTTTTCGGCGCTTCGAGCCACTGACGGGTCTCCCCCCCCGCGCAAAGCGAGTCACAAGTTCGTCCCGAGACGAGGACAAGCGAGCGAGTCCCACTTCATGGTCTCGCTGAAAGACCTAAGGCCTTTTCAAAAGCTGAAAGAGAAAGAAAAAGAACAGACCCGAGAGGCCATTGCTATTAGGTACTGATTTGGTGTTATGAATCAGAACAATTCCAGAGGTTCTCGGAGCCTCAGCCAAGCATGGCTTCACTCTCGTGAGCCTTTCGGCCCAGAGGCCAGCAGCAGCTTGCGAGAGACGGATGCTCTGCCGCCCTGGCAGCCTGAAATGACTGAAAATAGGCCGCGAGTGGAGGTGAGGTAGCTAGTAGCAAAGGGCAGCTAGTAGCAAGTAAGCTACTACCGACAGGACGCAGGATAGCTCACGCGAATGATTTGATTCCTAGATTTTTAGGGAAACTTAACTACTAGCGAGTTTTCTTTTCAAAACAAAACTCACATGGTACTGCTTGCAAATTGAAAGCCCAACATGTAGTCAGTCGCAGCCGCCTTGTCAAACTGTGGTAACACTAGTATCATATCGTATTCGAGTTTCATCAACCTGTCTTGCACCTTTCAACTTTTCTATCTGCCGGCGGCCAGGGGGAATAACGTGGTTGTCAGCTGCTTCGGATTATTAGCCAAATTAAATGACCTTTGGATACCCCACAGGGTTCCTGGAGGGCGCAACAAGCAGGAAAAGCAAACAAGAGGCAGAAACCAAAACAATGATGGCCTGAACAAAGAGCGAAAAAGGAAGCAATAGAAGAAGCTAAGCAACACAATAGAATGACAAGAGTGTGTGTGTGTGTATATATGTATATTATATATCCGTGTGTGTGTATGAATAAATGGAAAACCTTCCCCAAAAGACGTCCCTCCAAAATGGAACACGGTTTACACACGAAGTCAGGCCCTCCCTTATTTTCAATGTATGTTTCATCCTGGCTCGGGCTTGTTCTGTATTTCTCCACGGCAATTTGAGCGTGACGGTCCAGCCTGCAATTGGGAAGCCCATTGGTACAAAGCAATGCTCGGCAGTAGGATGAGCATTGACAGCCAAATGAGCCAAGAGAAATCTTTCTTGGGAAGCAATGGCCAGTCGACATAAGCAAAAAGAACAGTGGACACCTCAGTCAACGCCACCAGCATGCCAGCTCTTGTACAACAATGCTAACACGAAAGAAAACACTCAAACAAAAATCTGCCAAGTGGCAGGGAAAATTGCTTTCAAAGCAATGAATGTGGCCAAAGCCCCTGTGCTTTTCACGGAAAGCAGAATTCCCATGTTCCACAAGAGATTGAAGACAACGTAGGTCAAGACGCATCGGCCGGCCAGCTCCCCATGAACTGAGTCCGGCCCGCAAGCATCCGGGGTTCCGCTGAACACACAGGCGATGGCATCCTGCGAAAATGGCTTTAACAAGTCAAGCGATTTCAAAGAACATGAGTCTAAACATGAAATTCTGAAAGAGGGGTTGTTAAAGCTCATACAATTCAATACAATCGTCTTGCCCCTACCTCTGCATCACGCCCTTTTTATATAGGCTTACAAACTTGCAATACAAAAGCTTTACGCCTCCAAAAAGAGGTTTGGCGTGGATCAAGAAATTGTTCGAAAACACTTCTGTCCTGCAGGTAGCTGAATATGTTTCCATCGTTGGTTTGCTTCAGCATGTCATTTAATGGAATGAGCATCAACGTCAATGGCAACCTTGGTTTTCGAAGACCATTTGCAAGTGGGCGAGCATAGGCAAGCATAGGCAAGCATAGGCAAGCATGGCCATGTGCTTGTTTTTCTTCAGCTGGACAGCCTCACACTACAGCTCATGCAGCTCGGGCGGCTGAAATATTGCCTCGTGCGAGTTGATCATGAAGATATTCAATCCGGGAGTGCCATGAAGCTCTTCAGAAGCTCGCTGCTTCTGACACAGCTTCGCAAAAAGTCAGCCGTGCCACAGTGGTCATGTCTATGTAAGACTTCAAGAACTCCCACAGGAATACGAATGTGTATTGGAACTCTCAATGCGTTGGGCCTTGTAGCGAGTAAAGATCAATTCTTTCACAACAAAGGCCACCTGATGGCTAGGGTCAGGCGGACAAACAAGCAGTTTTGAAACGAGAGTTTTCAAAAAAACAAACAGACAAGGAACAAGAAGCTACTAGTAACAAAGGGCATCGCTACTAGGAGGCTACCAGTAGCTCCTGTTCATACTACTAGGAGCAAGAAGCTACTAAGTCATCTGAAAGCCTTTACAGGTGTTTTTCAGTCTCTAGGCTCCAAAGGGAGTTTCTTCCCTTTGACGCCCTTTTTCCTTTCCGACTTCCGACTTCCTCCCTTCAGCCAAGCTACCGCATTGAAAATGCAGCTACCTGGAGCGAACTCATGAAGACCCATCCTACGCATTCTTTCTTTGTTTCGCTATTAGGAGCAAGGACGCTACTAGGAGCAAAGGGCATCGCTACTAGGAGCAATGTTCGCTACTAGGGGCTCCTTGCCTTACTACTAGGAGCCAGAAGCCACTAGTAACAAGGACGCCATTAGGTTGGAGGCCATTGCTATAAGGTTGGAGGCCATCGCTTTTCTACAAAGCTCTGTGCTGAGGTAGTTGCCACCAAGCACCACGGCAAAGAAAAAGTTCGAACCGGAGGAGTCAGACTGAAATGAAGGAAGAATTCCAATCACCTGGTGTCCAGGCTTGGTCATGTCTTGGAAAAGTTGAAGAAAACGGATGTAACAAGAAGCTACTAGGAACAAGTGCATCGCTACTAGTAACAAGTGCCTTACTAGTAGTAACAAGAAGCTAGTAGAAACAAGTGCTTTTTGGGAAGAGGGGGTAGGCCGCGCTAAGCAAGTAAAAGGTAGGTAGCTACTAAGCTATTAAGTAGGCCGCCACTAGCTACTGGAGGCAGGAAAGCTCACGCTCGCACTATTCAATTTTTGCGCCGTTGTCTTTCTCCTTTTAATGGCCTCCAACCTGCTAGCGATGGCCTCCAACTTACTGGCGTTGTGCAAACTGTGGGCAAGAAATAAATTACACCACCGTAGACCCCAAACAGTTTGTGTTTTTCAACATCGAAACTAGAGCTTGCGACGTCCAGAGCTGGGAGACAAAGGATTGCAAGGCAGAGGCGGCCACAGCAGCCCAGAGCTGGGAGACAAGTGTAAAGGATTGCAAGGCAAAGACGGACACAGCAGTACAGAGCGGGCGGACACATCTTAAGAAAGAATTGAGAAGCCCTGACAGTAAACCTTTTGGGGAATTATTCTTCAAGTGCGAACATGATGCTGGTCATGCTGCTCAATCAGCAAGGAGCTGACCACGTGAGGACAAGAAATAAAAGCATGAGGAGCGAAGGACGTGACATGAAATTGATGTTTGGTGCCTGACGCATGCCCTGAGACTGTCACAAAATCCAATCCGGTCATTCATGGAACGCTTGCCCGAAAAGAAAAACAAAGCTGAGAGAGTTACACAGTGTGGCAGGAATGCACTCCCGGAGACAGTCACGCGGCAGAAAACAGCAGTGCAGCCACCAAACCTGAAAGACAAAAAGACAGAAGTCGCATGGGAGACAAATGAATAGAAATGCTACATGGCCAACGGAAAAGGGCGGACACCAGCAGTAACGGACCTGGGAAACAAATGAATAGAAATGTTTCATGGCCCACGGACAAGGGCGGACACCACCAGTGACAGACCTGAAAGACAAATGAATAGAAAGGCTACATGGCACCAGCAGTGGCGGACCTGGGAGACAAATGAATAGAAATGCTTCATGGCCAATAGACAAGGACACACCAGTCCAAAGTCTTTTCTACAGTGAGGACCCATCCTGGAGGGATGAGGATTGCCACACCAGCCTGCGGATTTGGGTCGTGCTTTGCAAGAGAAGCAGCAGACCTGGGAGACAAATGAATAGAAATGCTAGTGGAAATGGGCGGACACCAGCAGTGACACAAAGGGCGGACACATCTTAAGAAAGAATTGAGAACCCCTAACAGTAAACTGCTTGGGGAAAAAGTGGGAGACACATGAAAGGAAGTGGGAGACAAGCCGGCCGGAAACCCGACTACAAGCACCCAGCCTGGGAGACAAATGAAAAGAAGTGGGAGACAAATGAAAAGAAGTGGGAGACAAACGAAAGGAAGTGGGAGACAAGCCAGCCGGGAACCGGACCAGAAGCGCCCAGCCTGAAAAGAAGTGGGAGACAAATGAAAGGAAGTGGGAGACAAGCCGGCCGGGAACCCGACCACAAGCACCGAGCCTGGGAGACAAATGAAAGGAAGTGGGAGACAAGCCAGCCGGGAACCCGACCACAAGCACCCAGCCTGGGAGACAAGTGAAAAGAAGTGGGAGACAAATGAAGGAAGTGGGAGACAAGCCGGCCGGGAACCCGACCACAAGCACCCAGCCTGGGAGACAATGAAAAGAAGTGGGAGACAAATGAAAGGAAGTGGGAGACAAGCCAGCCGGGAACCCGACCACAACCCACGACCACAATCCAGCCTGGGAGACAAATGAAAAGAACTGGGAGACAAATGAAAGGAAGTGGGAGACAAGCCGGCCGGGAACCCGACCAGACCATCCAGCACCAAGGCGACCATTCTTTAAAGCATTGAGAACCCCTAACAGTAAACTGTTTGGGGAAAAACAAGCAGTGGACTATCACGTTTCCTTTGCTGGTGCGAAAGAATCTTGTTGAGCTCAGTCGCCACTGCTACTGATACCTGCAAACATGAACTGTGAAAGCATGCCTGCACTGATGCCTCTCAACAAGGTCTTCACTTGACGTTAAAACATCAAGGGCACTCCAGATAGAGCCAAGATCTGGAAAAACGAATATCTCTGTTGGAGCACACACCTTGAGACAAAGCTGCTGTAACGGCACAACCGTTTAAGCGTCTTCGACTGAGATGTCCGGTTGAGGTTGAACGTCACAAGTGTGAAGTGTCTGATCTAAGAGGCCGACATGGAAAGCAACGCGACGTAAACTGGCAAAATGCATCCATCATTCCATATCATGGCAACGTTTGACAAAGAAAAATGTTGAAAGAAAATGAAATGTCTTGATTACATATTACATTGACATCATTACATATGAAAAAAATGTCAGCATCAAGGCCTGAGGTACAATTTGAAAGCAGGCTGTGCACGGGGCCAGAGACGTGGCTTGTGCAGATTGCTCCAATCACATCCCCCAGGGCGTCACCTTTAATGGGGAAGAACACTGAACGGTTGCGAAAGGGAATGAAATGAACACAGTAGCGTCCTTGCGATGCCCCTTGCTCCGTTCGTAGCGTTCTTGTTCCTAGTAGTAAGGCCAGGAGCCCCTAGTAGCGTCCTTGCTCCTAGTAGCGTCCTAGTAACACAGGTATCTTTTTCGGATGTTGTCAAAGTCGCCCAATAGAAGAGAATAAGAACGCCCGCGGCAAGGTCACTGCCTCTTACATCACTATGTTTTCATGCATTCGAGGAAGCCTTCGGCGAAAATAACGAAAACTCATTGCTTGGCGGTCAGCATACACATTGCTGAAAAAGTTGCTCCAACGCATGTGTTGGGCAACACTAGGTTGGAGGCCATTGCTATTAGGTTGGAGATGGTTGGAGGTCATTTTGGCAACACTAACATGTTTCTTGCGACTTGCAACCTGGCCACCCAAAGCTGCCAACACGATCAAAGCCACTGGAGGCATTCCGCCGGCGAGACTCGGCTGCCACATGAACTTCAATTGAGATCGTGGGGCAGCTCCGGTCTTCAGCAACACCAGGAGGATGGCCCTTGCAGGGAACCAGTAACAAGAAGCTACTAGGAACAAGTGCATCGCTAGTAGTAACAGGTGCCTTACTAGTAGTAACAAGAAGCTATTAGAAACAAGTGCCACGCTACTAGGAACAAGTGCCACGCTAGTAGTAACAGGTGCCTTACTAGTAGTAACAAGAAGCTATTAGAAACAAGTGCCACGCTACTAGGAACAAGTGCATCGCTAGTAGTAACAGGTGCCTTACTAGTAGTAACAATGTTTGCTAGTAGTAACAAGAAGCTACTAGGAACGACACGGTCTGAACGGGTCTGAACGGGGTCAGTGGTGGTCGAGTCCGGACACAGTCTCTTCTCTGCAAGAAACTAGTAGCTTCTTGTTACTACTAGTAAGTAGTAAGGCACTTGTTACTAGAAGCGATGCACTTGTTACTAGTAGCTCCTTGTTACTAGTAGCGATGCCAGGAGCCCCTAGTAGCGTCCTTGCTCCTAGCAGTTTGCATGGAGTATCGAAGCAGAGCTTGTCCTTTTCGTGGTGGCCACTAGCCAACTTCCTTTACTTGTCTCACTCGCACGATCACCCACCCGCACTTGCACTCACAACCGTCCCTTCCTTCGCTGATTCTCACGGACTCACTAATTGTGTCGTCGCCACAGATCACGTAGCACTTCCTAGGGCCTCGAACCTAAATAGCGATGGCCTCCTGCGGCCTTGCCAGTGTCTCATTATATTGCTGACTCAACTGACGAGACCCAGTGAAAAAGGTCGCGGGCTCCTCTTGAACCTCCAAGGCCTTCTCGGTCTCACCGCCACAGTAAAGATACCGCTACAGTAAAGAGGTTTGTTTGAAAGAAGAGGAGCATCAGTAGTTCCACTATACTCAGTTGATTGCTCACTGCAGGCTACTTCCAGTGGCTGTCAGTCCCACTTAGATTGAAATTGTTCACCAGGTAGCGCACTGTTTGATCAAATCACAGAGCAGAAAAGACTTACACCTGGACTTAAATTTGCTTGATCCTTTTTTGCGAGTGCAGAGCTGAGTAGAGGCTAGTGCCGAAATTAAAGCTCATACATATCCTGCCCTGCGGTTAAGCGCTTTAGGTTCCACACACTTTGCAACTGCCGTCACTTCTCAATCCCGGCCAGAAAAGAGGAACGTAGGCAACAGCTGTTGACAGCCCAAGCATGTAGGAGTAGCCTCAAGTGCTGGCTGTCGACTGTCGTGGACAAAATGGCCACCTGTGAGAATGAAAACAGCGTGGAGGCCATTGCTACTAGGGTGGAGGCCATTGCTATTAGTTAAATGTCCCTAAACATCTAGGAACCAAATCACTAGTGCGAGCCCTTCTTCAAGGAAGCTTCCCCCGCCGCCTTTGGGGTGAGCTATCCTGCGTCCAAGGTAGTAGCTACTTAGCTACTTGTAGGTAGTAGCTACCTCAGGCTACCTCTAGCTACTACCTCACCTCTAGTGGCCTACCCTCTCCGGGCAAAAAAAATGAAAAGAGAGTGCCCAGCCAAGCCACGTTCGGACAAAGACTTTGAGGCGACTTGCTTTGAGATATTGTTTCCACAGCCAAGAACAACTACGGCAATAAGTAGAAGAGCTCGAGAGAGGGCCGAGGTCAATTTCCTTCGTCCTGAGAGGGTAGAACGCTTTCTTCGCAAAATTCAAGAAATGTCTACTAGTAGCTTCTTTGCTACTAGTAGCGATGCCAGGAGCCCCTAGTAGCGTCCTTGCTCCTAGTAGTAAGGCCAGGAGCCCCTAGTAGCTTCTTGTTCCTAGCAGCTTTTTTGCTACTAGTAGCGATGCCCTTTGTTACTAGCAGCTTCTTGCTCCTAGTAGTAAGGCCAGGAGCTACGTTCGTAGCGTCTTTACCCAATTCACACTGCATCCAGCCCCAACAGCAGCGCCTTGGGCATCTTCTACCTGATCGCTCCAGATTTTGTAGCTCAGTTTCTCAGCTCCCTACTCTTGGGAATCGTTTCACTGGGAATCGCTTCACCTGTAGTAACAAAAAAAGCTTTCTTAGTATGTCTTTGAAGCTTAGTAAATAGAAACATATGCTACTAGAAGCAAGGGGCCTTACTACTAGGAGCAAGGACGCTACTAGGGGCTCCTGGCCGTACTACTAGGAACAAGAAGCTATTAGAAACAAGAAGCTCCTAGGGGCTCCTGGCATCGCTACTAGGAACAATGTTTGCTAGTAGAACAAGAAGCTATTAGGAACAAGTGCATCGCTACTAGGAGCAAAGGGCCTTACTAGTAATAACAAGAAGCTACTAGTTGGATCCTCTAAGGTATTAGATTAGAATTAAGCTTTATTGGAATTTATTTTAGTTTCTTTAATTCTAATTCTAATTTAATACCTTAGAGGATCCAACTAGTAGCTTCTTGTTACTACTAGTAAGGCACTTGTTCCTAGTAGCGTGGCACTTGTTTCTAATAGCTTCTATGTTTGCCCATTAGACACAAAAATTCAACAGCTCTCAGCGCTCACTTTCTGCCTCGAAGGTTCTGGCAAACCCAAAGCCGCGTTCTTCCCGATTCGGATCCATCCGGTCCCTCTTTCCGCCGAAAGGTGGAAGCAAACGACTATGAACTGTCATCAGTTCGAGCCATCTGGCGAAGATACTGTCTTTTTCTGCACCTCCAAGCTAATAGCGATGCCTCCAACCTAGTAGCTTATTGTTGCTAGTAGCTTCTTGTTCCTAGTAGTATGGCCAGGAGCCCCTAGTAGCGTCCTTGCTCCTAGTAGCGATGCCAGGAGCCCCTAATAGCGATGGCCTCCAACCAAAGGATTCACGACTACGAGCTCTGCAAGACTGCAGTCTTGCGATCATCTATGCTGAAACATCAACTCGCCTTGCCTCTCTGTGGCCATTGGCTCAGTTGTGTTTCGCACTGCATGCCCTTGCTTCAAATGAATTTCCTTGGTTTGTCCAATTCTTGTTTTCCAACTCTGTCCAGCTTTGATGTTTTTATTTTCTGTTGGATAGTAGCTTGTCTGGCTGTCTTTGAGATCTCGAACAGCCCTAGCTTCGGCTTTGACTGCATTGCATACTGAACCACTTCAGGCGTCTCACCAACTGCGTTGCTACGACAGCAAACCCTTTTTATCCTGCTCTTGCAGAGTGTGGCAAAGCCATTTGCCATCTAAACATACATGTGGCCTTGCACAGGTGAAATTCAGAAGACATTTGCCTTGACATTGCGGGTTAAGTTCCAATAAGATCGGTGGATGCGATTCTTCGCAAATTGTCAAGCAAGGCAATAATCTTCCTTAAAAATGACGCTGGCTGATGCTCTTGCAATTGCGGAACAAATAGAAAGACGTGTTTTGATGACTTTGATCGTCCAAAATAGATTCGTGAATCACATCGGTACATGTTCCGCCGTTGAAACACTAAAATCACGCCATGCACCATGTAGACGCGCAGGATCCACTCCTCTTATCTTTGCATCCCAAACCAAAGTGTTCAAAACCATAATTCATCGCTTTAAGCTTGGGAACTTACATCTCATCTCACTTGGTTGCACTACATGGTACACTTCTCAATGGAACTTGGAACACCGGGCAGTACCGTCTGCCCACTGCGCTGCTTGCGCTTTCAGCTGCATTGCTGAGCGGAAAAAAATGGCTTGGGGAAGACTCATTTCAGACATGCATGGAAATAGATTAATTTCAACCTGAAAAAGTTGCGATGATGTCTAAATCGTTCAAGTTCAGTCGCAATGATTCGCTTCCTCCGCACCACACCAGCCTCTGTTGCTGGAGCGGGAGGTATTGAGAAATCACGGCTCTTCCACAACGCCGAACGACTAGGCCACAGCATGCAATGCCATCCACACTGCTTTCCCATTCAACTCGCCTGGCGCAAAAAGTGTTTTTTGTTTTTTTAGGGGGGTAGGCCGAGAAGAGGGAGGTAGTAGCTAGGTAGCTAGTGGAAGCTAACAGTAACAGCTACTACCTAGGACGCAGGATAGCTCACACTATTCATTTGGCTCCTAGATCTTTAGGGAATGATAACAGCTGCTTGAAGTGACGGAGATAAGCGCCTTCAATTTGCCCTAACCTTGACAAGTCCAACTTTGCAATGATGGCGAAGGCCTCTCACATGGGAAATCTTTGCGCCAATCTCCACTGCCATCACAGACACACAGAATGAGGGAAGGCTAGAATGAAGGATGTTCAAGCGATGTCGTTGCTCGGAACCTCCTAAGAAGGGCATCCTTTGCGAAAACACGCGACACCGCCAAAACCTGTCGATGGTGCCGTCATATAAGCTTGGCAGCATGCTTCATTCTACAATGATTGAAAAACATTTCGCTGCTACAAATCAGGCCAGTGGATATGTCTTTTTCTAATGCATGGTTTCGTTGGACAGGGTAGCATCAGAGAGCTCAGTCCCCCCTGCGCAAATCGTCTAGTCAACTCTAAGACTCTTACCGCTTATCATAATGGTGTACACACATACTTGAGATTATATACGTACAAACTGAATGCCACAAGCCCTAATGAAACCGCAAAAAGTACAGCGGCGTCCGACCGTGAAAGTTTCAATGGAAACTGCCGGTGAGAAGCCAGCAAGCAGCAGGGTGTGACAGTGTGGTAACCACACCTCTGGGTGTTTAAGTAGGTTGAAAGTGGTCACAGGTGAAATGCAAAGCAGGCGGCTGCCTGAAAAAGACAAAGAACTAAACAAACAAACAAAAAAGAAAAAAACATAAAACAAATATCTGGTGATTTAGTTGCTGTACACCATCCTTTGAGGCACATCACAACCAGTCGAGTTGTCGCACCGCACCACGCAAATCTACCGTTGGTTCTTCAAACCTTCGTCCCGAACTCTTGCCAAGATATTTACAATAGGTTGGAGGTCATCGCTCTTAGGTTGGAGGCCATCACTATTAGACGCTCTCGCTCTCTCTCTCTCTCTCTCTATCTCTCTCACCAACAATG